GATATAGCCAATTTCCCCATCTTTGGATCTTCCACACCACAAGGAGGGTAAATGCTTTAATAGATACTGCAATGCCAGGAAGGTTCACAAGGTGTTTGAAGTTCTGCAACTCTGCCCAATTTTTTAAGTCAAGGATATTTCTCAGAACAAAATGCTATTTTGCTATGAGAAAAACAGTATATATCATCATTTACACTGATAAGTGCTCTAGTGCAACTGCAATGCATGAATCAATGATGGTTCTTCTATTCATGGTAAATTGTAGGCAGCATTCCAACGAAAGCTTGCTAGAGATGTCTGCAAGAAGCAAGTGGCACAATGCCCAACAGTTTAATAACTGCATATCAGTGTCTCCATCTATTATAAACTTGGGAAACCTTCAGTTTCAGAGAAGATAAGAGACTAAACTGTTCCTGTGACTGAGAGTCATCTTCAAGTTTGACATCAGACAAAACTGACTCCGAGAGCTACACAGCACATGAACTCTTTAGTCCTTACACTACCAAAAAGGCTCCTTCTCCCAAAACAATCCAATGCTTCACAACAGTGCTCAAGCCAGTGCCAGAGAAGTACCAACTCATCCATCCTGCTTTACCTTGAGAAGTGCAGCACAGAAAGGTTTTAACAGGCTTTTTGGCAGCGTAGAAGGTGTGCAGTGACGGAAGCTCCTTGCAATGAAAAGGGATGTTTGTTGTTTAATTGTGGGGTTTTTGTTGTCCATCACTGCCAACACATCTTCACTTATGTTCTGCAACGTGGTCTACAGTATTGGATGGAGAAGTCATTAGTTTCAGTAAAGAAAGAAAAGTAAAATCACTATCAGAGACCAATTTTCAGACAATGGGGACAAACTGTCACTCTGACTTACTGTAAGAAAGATTGCATCAATGGCCTCCTGCAGTGCCTGCACCACCTGAGGCTTCTTCTCTTTAAATTTCTCCAGGATTGTTGGAACAACCTATGGAAAAGGGAAAAACAAGCAAACAAAAATGTCAAACCACCCTTCACTAACACAGCTGACACTAA